CAGAGGCCACGAGGAGAAACAAACCAGACCCCCGTGATCACTTTTCTGATGACTTACGGCGGAGGTCTTGAACACCGGGTGCCCGATCTTGCAGGTCAGAGATGAGGATACAAGTGGGACCCTCTGAGAGTCACTGCACTCAACTCGCGGAGAGGAAACCTGCAAAGACTTAAGAGAGGAAGGAAGCCTTCTTAAGAACAGAATGGCGTAGAAATCTCTGAGCGCAGGCCAGAAATTTGGTTTTTCCAGCCAAGGAAGGGCCAAATGTTGCCCTGCTGAGAGATTTTGCACACACACACACACAGTGCATGCAAAGTGGATGGTCTGCCATGGACAAACAACAGAACGACTATTTTTCTCTATTAAAAAATAATAATCCTGAAGTCAATACAGGCTCCCTGCATTCCACGGAAAGTTTTGCTCAACAGGTAATAAACATCAGATAGGAAGATTGTAACTGAAACTCAAAGAGGGTCTGAAGAATGGACCCACCCGCAGGGACCGACGTAGAGTGACCTTAACAGGGCTTTCAAGGTCAGTGGGGTATTTAATATGTGTTTTTTCCAGAATCACACCCCCTCCATGAGTTTGCATGGCTGAGTGGGGATTCGAACCCTGTTCTCCAGAGACCTATTCCATCGCTCTATCCACTACACACCACACCGGGAAGCTACAAGCAGGATTAGGCAAGGCAATCAGGGAGAAAATTGACAGCAGTACCTCTTGAACCGTATTGAAGTGGAGATTTGCAGGGAATTCCAGAAGCAACGTTGTTCTGTGTGAGTTATCACCTGTGTTTTCCAGGTGGATCCTCATGGAGAGCTCTTTGGTGACGCCAACCACCAGCTCTTTCCTGTCAAGAATCCAGAGAACGTGTCGTACGAGAGCTGAGGATTCTTTTTTTTTTCCAGTTCAGGGCATAAATTCGACTTCGTTAACAATCCCCAGGGTCCGGCTTCGGCGACACGGGGTGGTCCCGAAGCTAAGCAGACACAGCTGGTCGTGATTTTAACCCACTAGAAAATTCCCCACCAGACACACAAAGCACAGTTCAAGTCTGTGCCTCCTCTGGGGGAATGCCCTAGGGCAACAGCTTTCCTGCTGGCAAAGCTCAGCTTCATTCAAAGAGCAGTGTGGTTGCATGCCACAGATTTTCCACCTGCCCAGTGGAACAAGGTTGCATGCGATACTTTTCCCTGCCTGCAAAGCACCACCACGCAGCCCTGTTGAACAACGGCTTCTCTGTTGCCAAGTTCTGTGAAGTTCTCTTGATGCCCGCAAAGCACAGCTCCACTCCTCAAAGACTATTCTGTCCCGAGCAGATTTTGTGCCAAGTGGAAGCCAAAGCAAAGCAAAATGTCCAGGAGACGACTCACTCTGTCTGAACGGTTAACTTCAAGCGCGGCACGCAGACGGTCTTGTTCTCACAGTCATCTGCATAAGGCAGCTGAAATTACAGCAAAAATGCCAGGCTCAAGAAACAAGGTAGTTTGGGGTGGGGGTGTTTTATTTTTATTTTTTAATCATTTTAGTATAAAGTGTTGAAAGAGCCTGCCTGCCCCAGGGGGAGGAATCCAGGGGAGAATTAGTGGCCGAAACACAGGAAACGAGAGAGAAAATGGGTGCTTTGAGGGACAGTCGAAGGAATGTAGCCTTCCATAAGGGGGGAAAAAAACCCTTCTGTTACTCAAACCAGCCTATTTTAAATTTTATTTTACATTTGTTCCATTTATATGCCAACTTTCTTCCAAGGAGTTCAAAGCAGGATATGTGGCCTGCCTCCCCACTTTTACCATCACAACATCCCTGCGAGGTAGATCCCACAGAGAGACAGACAGACAGAAAGTCCGTTATAGTACGACACGCTTAGGGCTACACTTTGGATGCTCTTGGACCCTGAATTGAAAAGAATAATTTGAACGCAGAAGGACTCCCATAGCTGTCGTTATTCCTTTACCTGGAAACACCTCTCAGATTCCTGGTATACATCAAGCACAGGGACCGGATGGGTCAGGTCAGCTCTTGGGTCACGAAGCTGGTAGCTGACTCTCAGTAGGATGCTGGAAAAGCAATCCTCATTGCAAGGCTGGGATTAAAAAGGGGAAAGAGGGAAAGCAGGTTATAGCAAGACGTGTCCTCCGCCTGAGTTAGAGAATAAATCAGAGATGGTGTCCCTGGATATCACGGAGGCCGGAGGGTGGAAGGAACCTTGTTGATGCACTTGCCTCATTCCAGACCCTGGAAAAAAATTACTTTCTTGAACTACACTGCCCAGAGCTGCGACTGATCCACCTACAGGAATTATTTCTTCTTCTTGATCATTGGCAGTAAAGTTTCCAGCACCGAGCACCCAACGTTACGGCCAGCTCCTCAAAAGAGGACAGCTGTATGATTTGTGGCGTGTGACGTTCAAGGGGCCACCTGAGACACAACCGGCCTCCTTCCGTGTCCCACGACGGGCCTCTCTCTTACGGGCCAAGAAGCACCGTTCTCACACTTGCCCCCCCCCCCCCGTGTTCTCAAAGTACCGTTCTGGGATGGCTTGATCGTTGTCCATTGTTGGGCAGGTCTTCTGGGAGTTGTAGTCTTAGCAACCCAGAGATCCACATCTGGAAACCATTCCACCCTAGAACCTCAGTGTTCGTTCAGGTGGTCTGGCACCCTCCCCTTCCTCCACTTACCAAGATGGTGAGTTGCAGTTCGGCGCAAGGATTCCTGGCGTACAGCACCTCCCCGCCGGCGGCTATAATATCTTCAAACTCGGCCCTCTTCCTTTCCATCTTGATATCTACGTCCACCACATAGCGGATGAAGAAGCGGTGCAGACCTACAGGAACAGATGTGGATGGAGCAGTTAAAGTGCTGCTGGACTGCAAACAGGGAAGAGGCGAGTTCAAATTCCCTGCCAAGCGCCCTGGTGCTCTTGAGCTAGTCAGCCTCTTTCTCTCAAGTTCAGCTTCACTTCGAGGCTCGTGCAAATAAAGAAGGAAGGCTAACTTCAGATTCTTGAGGGAAAGGCTGGATAGAAATGTTGCTAATTAATTAATCAGTGCTTTTCTCACAGGAGAAAGCCACATTTCCCTGTTTACCTCTGCTGTAGAGCAGTTACAAATCACCTTCATGACCGGAAAACTCCACAGTTTTTTTAATAGGGAAATTTATACCTTTTCTAGGTTGTCAACCCAAATGCTTCCTCCGCACACAGTTTTCTTTCTTACCTTCTTCTTCTTCTCCTCCTTTAAATTTTATTTTTAATGTTTTGCTTACCTGGCTGTGAGGATTCTTGGGGGTTCATTCTGTGGAAGCACAGTTTGGCCTTGATGATGCTACTGTTTTGGAAATTGGATATTTTCGCAGGGCTAAATTCCATGGTGGATTCCAATCGAATGACCGGCCTAGAACTAGTCCAGGGAAGGGGAGGGGATGAAAAAGGGTAGGCTTGCTAATTAATTCATTAATTAAGCAAGCAAGAGAAGGTAGGAGGCTTGGAGCAGGGTGGCTGAGGCACTGCAATCATCAACAAAGGCACAAGGGAAATGACAGGACTAGTATAACCTGGCACATGGATGGCGTTTTTGGCCACCCCTTCTTCCTCCCTAGAAAACAAGAAGGGGTACCTTTTTCCTACCTACCGGAGTAAGGTCACGTTGCCTAAGGATCCGACAACAACATCTGGGAGTCCATCTCCAGTGAAGTCCGACCCTCCGGCCAAGGACCTTCCGAAATAGACAAGTCCTGAGGGGTGCATCTGAGCGGCCATGATCCTCTGGAAGGAGACAGAAGACACGCCGGGCAGGAGGGGCGTTTAAGACGGAGCCTCCAGAGTCTGGCTCGTGGGCTGTGAGAAGCAGCTGACGTTGGGCAAATGAAAAACATGTCCCTTTCAGAGGGCACGACCCAGAATCCCCCAGCTGTCACCCTAAAGGATTCTGGGAATTGTGGTCCAAAAATGAATATGTTTCCAAATTCTGATTTAAACTCTTCTTTCCTGTCCAAAAATGGCACTCAAGGTGACAAATAATACCGAAATACAGAACCAAAATCCAGTAAAGGATGCTTAAAATGGAACAAAGCAAGCTGAGAAGGTGAAACCAAATAAATCAACCTCAAACGAAGTGAGCAAATGAGAAACAACACAAGAAACGTCAGAGAAGTGGAGTAGCATGTGTGTATGTTTCTCTCTCCTTCTCTCACAGAGATGATGGCCCGTGGCTCTCCTACCTGCGAGAAGGGACCCCGGATCCCATCGGGATCACCGTTAAAGATATAAACGCTGCCACAAGAACTGGGGTTGGATTCCTGCCCTTCAAGCGGAGCCCCGATGGCCACGTCCCCAAAACCGTCCTGGTTAACATCTCCGATGGCAGCCACGGCAAATCCAAACCTGGCAAAGACGGATGCCGGGTGGCCATGCAAGTGTCTTTTCAAAGAGAAACAGACTGTCTGGAGGAAGGGAAGAAATAAGAGAATAAATAAAAGGGAAGGAACTGCAACATTTTTGGTCCCTGGACCCGACAGATCCAGGAAAATACCAAAGGGCTGAGGACGAATCCTGCCACAATACCCAGGAATCCCGAGGCAATGGGTTCAGAATCAGAAAAGTGAAATTCAAGAAGAGACTTCTTCTACCTCTTGATCCCACCTATACAGGTACACCTTCCCTTCCTCTCCATCGATGTGGAAAAACGGGGCTCCGACCAAGAGGTGATCGGTCAGTCCGTCCTGGTTTATGTCCAGCGGGCAGATTTCAGAACCATAATAGGACCCAATCTGTAGTGGCGGAAAATGCAGAGCCATCCATGTTAGGGAACCTTTGGTCTTCCTCAACCCGACGGCCTCCTGCCCTTTTGGACTACAGCACCCATCAGCCTCATCCAGGAGGATTTTTATACCCTCCATTTTATAGGATCTCAAAAGTGCCAAGCCAACAGCACTTGAAATAAGCCAACGATTTGGATACGAAAGAATGAAAGCCTCCCATTTTTCTGCACGAAGATGAGAACGGCTTAATTTCCATCTGATGCCTCTTTGCTTGGTGCTTTTCAAAGTATGAGAGACCATCTCGGTCTACGGGCCATGCATTCCCTTTAATGCACCAGCGGTTTTCCTTCACATGCCCAAGCAGCCGTAAGCTCAAAGGGACACCAGCAGACATTGAAAAATGGCTCTAGCCTCAGGAAGGCAGGACGGTGGGAGGCGGAGAGACAACTCATTCACCGAACATACTTAGAAGTGTCTCGGTGGGATGAGTTATTATAAACCTGTCGCAGTGAAGTTATCATCTTTTTTTACGCATTAAAAAAATGGTCACTGCAGCTGTATGTGAGCTTTTGTGGTGTGGTGTAGCTGTTAGACCATGGGCTTGGATTCACGCTGGGTGGGGCTGGGCAAAACTGACTCAGCCTACGTCTGTCTTGCAGGGTCGTTGTGCAAGCAAAGACAAGGGTGCAGAGAACCAGAAGAGGGAGGGAGGAAAGGATAGGTAGATCTGTAGAGGGATGGAAGAAGGAAGTGGATGGATGGATGGACGGACGGACGGACGGACGGACGGGAGGGAGGGAGGGAGGGAGGGAGGAAAGAAAGAAAGAAAGAAAGAAAGAAAGAAAATGTGTAGGGAATGACAGAGATGCTAAAATTAAAGCCACATCTGTTTCATGCTTTGGGGCGGAGGGCAGATTATTCTTATTTCAAAAAAGACTCAGAAATCTGAGCAATGTGACGGCTGCAGTCAATCCCAGACCCCTTTACCAGGCTCCATCAAGCCCAATGGGGACCTACTTCTGAGTAAATGCCATGAGGAACCTGACTGGGCTTGGCATTTGGTTGCTTTTATCCTCTGGTTGCCAAGACGTCTTGCAAAGCAGCACCAACTGATGTCTGGAAACGGCTGAGATGTGTCTGGGGAAATGTTCTGCAGAGAGAGAGCCTGCAGGCGCGCCGGGAGACAAAACAGGATCCGGTCCCCCAAGCCTGTACCTGTTCCCCTTGCAGAGTTTGCTTCAGGCACCCCTGCTCGCTGTCAAACACCAGGACTTTCCCGGTCATGCTGTGTCGAGGCGCTCCGGCCACAATCCACGCGCCATGCCGTGTGCGGATCGCATCCACGCTGTAGCCTGGAGCAGAACAGACCGGAAGGCGAAATTACACAAGGAGGGAGAAGGCTGACAGTCACACAAACAGGGCAATGCAGAAAGCTTAGATAAGTTAAATTCCTGTTAGCAAATGCTATGCCCAGCCTGGTATCTGGTTCCCTCTAGTGGTAATGTCATGTTAGGGCTTAGATAAGTTAAATTCCTGTTAGCAAACGCTATGCCCAGCCTGGTATCTGATTCCCTCTAGTAGTAATGTCATGTTAGGAATATATATTTCTGGGTACCTTATGTGGTTTTTTTTCCTTTTAATATTTTTAATATTTTTCAGACTGGAGAAGTGATTCAACAGATACCAATCCTGCAGATAAGGGAGTCCTGTTGAAATCAGTTCTTAAGTAGAGACCCCACTGCATATACGTATTTCTGGATACCGTATTTTTTTTTCTTTTAATATTTTTAATACTGTATTTTCAGACTGTGGAGAAGTGATTCAACAGATACCAATCCCACAGACAAGGGTGTCCTGTTGAAATGTAGTTGTTAAATATATGGAAACCTCTCCAGTCGGCTTCAGTGTTTTCTCTCCATTGGGAGAATCAGGGTGAGCCCGGCCATGATAAAAGCCAGAAGGGCCGAAACAAAACTGGGAAAATTCCCAGGGCAGCATCACAACATGCAGAGGAGAAAGAGGGCCTGAGCGCCAGCCGGAAACCCGGAAGGAGTGTTCAAAACCTTTCTGTTCTGCTTCAGGCCAAGATGCATATCAATCAGCCTGTTCTTGTGTTCCTAATTGATCGGTGAATGATGCAAAAAATCAACAACCCACGCCCCCCAAAAAAAACCATCAATCTGAAGCAAAAGCCAAATGGTTCAAAGCACAGGGACCAATATCAACCCACCCTCCCTGCAACGGGTTACCTAAATAGCCGTTTCTCCCACTCGCCGCTTCTTCTGTCTCATTCAGGAAAACGGCCGCCGTGCTTGCCGTGTCGTAGAGAAGGACCCCTCCTGCCCAGTCAAAGGACCCCACAGCCCCAAAAAGTATGTGGTGCTGAAAGGCAAGAGAGAAACACGTGCCAGCTTTAGCGGTTTTCTTCTCTCCCTAGTGACTAAAGGTCGAGCCTGCATATACTGCAGCAGTCTACCTTGGAGTACCCTAACGGTCATATTTTTCCACCAACCTGACCCCCGAAAGAAAACAACGATTCACCTCATCCAGAAAACGGACGCTGAAGCCGCTTTGGGCCAGTTCAAATTCCAACATGTCGCCCGCTGTCCCTGAAAATTAGATCAATAGCCATTCCTTAATCAGACGCTTAAGTACAGTATAATTTAGCGGCACAGTACATGCTTTTATGCAGATGGTCCGAGCGTCATGCTCCTATGTCTCCAGATAAAATAGGGAATGACTCTGTCTGAAACCTCCAAGTGGAGGCAGAAGGATTCAGGACCATGAGGACTAGCAACTTAGTTTGTTCTGCTCAATGACAGAATGGGAGTTCTCCAGGCAGAATGCCCTAGTTCTAATCCCATCTCAAAGGATGGGAGACCCTTCCCCGCCTGAGGCTTCGGGCTGTTTGGACCAAAGGATGCTTCCTACGCCCTTCCTCCCTCACCTTCCAGGCCGATAATTTTCTCCTGCAGCGTGGACAGCAGCACGCTTAGGGCAGAATAGTTCGCCACTCGGAAGAGATGCCTTTCGTGCGGGTCGGAGGCAATCAAGCGCAGCTCCTGCAGAGCGCTGGTCTTGTTGAACGCCGCCCCGACCTGGAGGGAACAGCCCAGAAAATGATCAAATCAAGACTCTTGCCTGCCATTTCCATATACAGTAGGATCCCCCCCATATCTGTGGGATCGGTCTCCTGCACAGGTAACAAAATGGCAACCCATCCTTTCTGTACAGGAGATAAAAATGGCACTTGTTCCAATTCCTTACCACTGTCCTCGGGATCGATATGCCCAGTTTCACTTATCTGCAGTCGGACAATGAAAAAAATATTAAAAGAAAAGAACTAGAAATATATTTTTTCATGGTGTATTTTCCAGGACTGGACACTAGAGGGAGCCAGAGACTATGCTGTGTAGTCTTGTTATTGGAATACATAACATGGTCTCTGGCTCCCTCTTGTATCCAGTTGTGGTAGTACATGGTGAAAATGCCTTTTTCCAGCGTTCACTATTATCTGTGGTGTTCAGCTGGGAACCATCCCCTGCACATACAGGGGTCCTTACTGCATGACACTGTCATTGAATATGATGCAGTTCCATAAAAGAAACAAAACAGTCAGGTGCCTGCCCCAAAGTGCTTACAATTTACATTTTAAATCATTGTTTAATCAGGCCCCGAGTTTTAAAAAAAATCTGAGGATCAGTGACCGATTATAGTATTGTTAGGGATCATCGGTTCTACTTTGGTTTTGATTCTTTGTTTTGAATGGTTTATGCAGTGGACAAGGCTTAAAAGCATTTTGAACAGCGGTACCTTAGCCCGATTTTTTGAGATTGGAGCTTTGGAAGTAGCTTTTGAAAATTAATCTGTTCTCCCTACATGTTGTCTTGTTCGGTATATCCTTAGGTTGAACTCTATAAAGTTTAAAATATAACCCCTGCCATTCCTTTACCATTGCTAGTGACTTCCTTATGAGCTTCCATGAATTTTTATATGACTCTTAGGACTGGGAAGAAGAGGATGTAAAACTTGGAAAATTCCCCGTCCAACTGCTTCTAAAATGCCCTTTGAAAATGAGCTTCTAATTAGACAGTGAGAATAACTCATACCTGTAACTCCCACTTTGGGCCTCAGGTAAAAGGCAGGAAAGAAATATTTAAGTAAATCCATAAATACAATAAATGGGAAGCCCCTGGAGAAACTGGAGCTTACCCCAATGGCGTAGCGCTCAATGCCCGTCATTCTGTCCGAATGAATCACCGTTTCTAATTTCAGTGTGTCCAGGAACATCTCGCCATCTGTCAGCACCACCATGATTTTGGCGGCGTTCTTCTGGGACCCGTGGCTTGGGCTAAAGATGCTGTCTCTGTTGAACATGCAAAAAAAAAAAACCCACAAAAAACAGACACACACACACATAGACACACACACAAATACATATATTTCTCTCTCTCTCTCTCTCCTTGAAGCAGACTTCTGGATTACACAGAACTACATGCCCTATTTTAAAGCCAGGATAAACCATTTGACTTCTTTTTTGGCACGCTGGAGAGCTCAGGGGTGTCA